CCGTATACATCAATTTTCTAAAAAATTATAAAAAAATAAATCATTATAAAACATACGGAATTTTGATATAGAATCATGAATTACATATACAAACCTTATAAAAAACGTATCATTTCCTTATTTTGATTTCTTATAGAGCATAAACAACTTCAAACTTATTTGGTGTCTTGATCAAAACACACTTTATATCAACTTTTCTTCTAATACAGACCTTTTGGAATGGGTTTTGCTTTTTATTTTGAGCATCATTCATTACCAGAGCTTGTAACTCTCCCTTAAATATTAAAGAGTTATTTATTATTAAATATTTTTTTTTAAGTCCTACTAAAAAATCAATATAAATAAAGAGACTTACCAAACATCTTTTATGTGATCAGATATAAAAATACCTCGAAATAAAGGAAACAATGAGCTCATTTTGAGTTCTTCTTCTGTTAATGTTCCTTGAAAGGAACATATATTATTTTTTATGAATTATATGTTGGCATCTAACTTTTCAAAATTTTTATCATTAATTCGTTGACAGTTATTGTCGAAGTATTGATGAATAATTTCTTCAGCAGGTGTATCAATCCATTCAATATAATTTGAGAATTCTTGATTCAACTTCTTCATGTCGATTTCTGTAAAATGTTTACATGTGCAGGCTTTCATTCGTCAAATTGAGAATACCCAATACGCAGGCCTATATGATAACAGGAGAATAAAAGTTACAGTATTAATAATTTAATCATGTAAAAATCATGACCTAAGAACAATCATGCTAAACTTACATTGAGACCTTATAGCACTTGGGGATTTTAGCCTGATAGAAAGAGAGGAACTTGCTTACGATTGCAAATTCCAATTTGCCTTGCTTGGGCTATAACAGTTCATAAAAGTTAAGGGCTGACTTTGCAAAAGGCTGTAATGGAACTTGAGAAAAAAGAGTTTGCTGTTGGACTTCTTTTTGTGGCAATTTCACAGGTTTGTGGTCTCCAAAATATTCTTTTTAGGCCATTTTCATTTGAAAGACTGCAGCGTATCAAGACTTGTAAGAGACTACAAGAGA